TTTTCTCGAAGATCTAATGATGGGTTTGTTAATGTTTAGTAATTATATGCCAACTTGTAAGTTTTCTATAGTTAAGATAAAGTATCAACCCCCACCCCCAAATGTCTCATTTTTAAAATTGACATTTAGGGGCTGTATCAGCTCATTCACATGATTAAATTCACAGCTCATTCACATGAAAAAACTCATTGACATGATTAAATGACTTTGGTTGAGTTTTACCTAATGAAAAGCGGGACATTTAGGGTGTTACAATAAATAACAGTGATAACTTTCTATAAGAAATATTTTTCAAGCCCATTCTACCACTTTCCATGTCCACAACCTTTTTATTTTGCAACTAATTCTTCTCAACATCTTCCGGCGTTTCGTCTTAGGTTCATAGACACATGCGTCTTCACTATAAATTCTACAGAAGCAATAAAGCTTACAATCAATCGTATCAATAAAGATTCGAAGTTTGAAATAAAAGTACACTAATTCATGATTATCTACACTATCATAAGCTGAGTGCTTATATAGGGAAACCATATACAAAAAATGTTTTTTATCATGATGCCTATAGTAAAGCTGCTGGGCTATAGATATTACTCTCTTTAGCTGATGCAAAAGGTTATTCGGCAGCTTGGAGCGAACCAGAATCATCAGTAGACCGGTCTGATGTGTTATCCATAACACACGCCGCCTACTGGACAGCCTTATGAGTTAAATAGCTTATTAATTAAATCCAATTAACTTTAAGCGTTGCTAATTTGATAATTAATAATTTGAAATTATTTAGGTTTTTGAGACTGAAAATTTTCCTAAACCTTATTTGACACATCAAGGAGGACAGTTGGCAAAGTTTTAATAAAAAATAATCTTATGTACATATCTTTCAGAATTGAAAGACATTCTTCTTTTAATTCATATCCTTTAATTGTAAAAAGTACAACTAAATCTGTGAGTGTATTAATTACTTCATATGATATGGATAATAATGTAGATGTTCCTTATGAAATTGAATATGTTGCTGTTAAACGTATATTTTGGTTATTCTTTGGTTAAAATATTTTCTGTTCTGTCGAGCTACAATCAAACCAATTTTTTTTTTCAAAAATTTAAATCTATTATTTAATAATGCCAATCCTCTCTTATAGTTTGGCCATTGGTGGAGCTATAAGAGATCCAATATCCGAACCGAAAATTTTCGGATATCCTGCGGTTTTTCGGATCTGAATATCCGGTCCGACAACTCTAGTGGGAGCTATGAGACAAGTTTTAACATCTATGTCACTTAGATGTCAATCAAGCAGGACTTTGATAAGAAGCAATTATTTTGGTAGAATGTATATTTTTTGTAAAGCATATCCTAAACATCAGTTCCTTTATAATATTTCTAAATAAAATTCAAGTTCCTTTTACAGCTTGCAAATGCTTCCCAAATAATTTAACACTTTGTCGAATCCATCCATTAAATTTACTGTCACCAGGCTTTCCAGAATATTGTGACAATCTTAATTGTTCTACACAAATTTCTTTAGAAAATCCAGTTAATACAAGCAATTATGTAGAATCCTTGCAAATTCAGTTTAATTCCTTCCAAACTAAATTAGGCGACCTTTTACATTTAAAAATGCCTAATGAAAAGAGAGGGCTTACTTCGTATGTTTTAGAATTCTTAATAAATTGAAGAACTAGTACATATTTTTAAAATAGAAAAATACCTTGATATCACTCTCAATCCCCAAATATCGGTGGATTTGAGTAGTAAATGTGGACTTGGAGTATAATGAGTGATATGGGCAATATATTGGTAGATTAAGGTAGATATCGTTAAATTTGGAGGATCTTCACCGGCTAATTTCAATATTTTACACGTTTTTATTTGTAAATCTTGGAATATAGAATAATAATTATATTAATAATATTAAAATAATAATATTAATAATAATATAATAATAAATATTACACCCGTGTAGTAGAGATCGCGATTTGTAAAAAGCCTGGGCCTGTTCCTAGGTTCAGGGTGATTTATTGACCTGAGCAGGATAGTCCAGGAAAAACCATGGCCTAGGAAAGAACCAGGAATGTCAAAAAATGCGGGACTGAACTCTGAGTACAGGAAAAACCCAGGCCATGTCCAGACCCAGCTCGATCTCTAATATGTAGTTAACCAAACTAATAATTAATTTTTTAAAGTTTTGATGGTGATGCACAGAAAATAGGCTACTTTACACCTGATTCACCAAAATTTACTTTAAATTTTACGACTAATGAAATAGGTATTGATACTGGATTTAATATCACAATTAAATATATTAAAAGAAATAAAGGTAAAAATTGAAAAAAATGTTAAAAAAATACTTTTAAAGAATGTTTATGTCATGGAACTGATAGTAATTTAAAAATTTTGGATGGAAAAATGATTTCTGTGCAAAAAAAGTTTCTTGGTGAAAAATGCCCTTTTATGGACTGCTTTTGGGAAATTGAAACTCCAAAAGTTTGTTAAACAAAAATCAGAATTTCTGATCAAAATACATTAAGCACGCAAAATTTTACCATCGTCTCATTGTTAAATTCAATCTTTCACTGGCTGATAAAAATGGAGAATTTGTTGAAGTCTGCCCCAAAAATTTTGACGAAAAGCATAATGCTTGTCAAAGGCATTTTTTAAATAAATTACGAGCCTTTAACATCAAAAAATTAATTTTCAGACTTGATAAAAGTAATGTTGGGGTTGGAAATCAAATGGAATTTAATGTTTCCAAAGTTTCTACTTTTTTTAAACGAGATGCTTCGGTAAATGTTTGGTATCATCGTGAACCTGATAAATGGATTTATAGTCCTAATATTCCAAGACAAATTAATTTTACTTATGAGTGGAAAGAACGTAATTAATTATTTAATTATCAAAATAAAATAGAAAGATTTTTTTTAGTTATTGGGTAGCTTTACTTCTGTTCGTTTTACACGCAATGAAAATTAAGAACAAGCAGAAGCAGTTGACAATAATAATAATCTTCTTTTTCAACTAATAATCCTTCTTATAATGGATAAATATCTAATCAGAGTTCCGATTAACTTTTGAGCCATTTCCGACAGTTCCGAGTCCCGTCACCTTCACCCATGTTAATGAGGTCTGTACGTAATTCCAAAATAACTATTAATCGGAGCCCTGAAAGTTTTTACTTTTAATAATTTAATCAAAGATTTTTACCTTTTTAAAAATATTTATAAATTTATGGAATAAATTAAAAAAATAATTTATTCTAAAATTTAGTCTAAATTTAGTCTAAAATTTAAATAATTTATTTTAATAAAATCAAAAAAATTATCCAGACATCCCCTCCCCTCTCTTGCTTAAAAATGTACTTAAAAATATTCTTCTACTATTTGCACATCTGTCGGCTTATGTTTATGGCCACACAGAATAATTTAAAAATTTAAGTACTTTTTCTTTTTTTATTTGTCTAGAAGGAGAAAAATTAAAATTTTTAATTTAAATTCAATTTCTATAAATAAATTTTGAATTTATTTAAAAAAGTTATATTAAGGACATGAATAAATTTTTGGTCATATAAATATGAAAATTAAATTCAAATCTTAGTCTTTAAATTTTAATTTAAATTCAGTCAAAAAAGTGCAGGCATAAAATATTTTTGTGTACAAATTTAAATTATTTTAGGTAAATCCTTTAGCAAAAAAATACTTTTTGAGGACAATTATTATTTTTGGATCATTATAGTTGGATCTAGAGACCGGATCGATACGATATATCGATGGAAAATATTGATATATCGATGTCGATATTTTTCGATATCGATATCGATATTATCGAACGATCACTCAAGTCCGGTCTCTAGTTGAATTTCGATTGTTCATACGCATGTGGAATTGAAAAAATGTGTACGAAAGACGTAGGAAGCTATAATATTATTCAAGCAATTTGCAACAAATTGCAAAAAAACTAATGTATTCACGTGCATTCACATGCACATATATTTTGATCTTATCTTCAAAAATAAAGGAAACCCGACCGTTCTCAGAGTTTATCACCTTTCCCGACCCTTATCTATTATATTTTGTTATTCATTGTTTACTTCCTTCTTCTATATTAAAGTAGCACGAGATCGAGGTTTTTGAAAAACCCGAGGGTCTTTGGCGAGGTTCTATCCTTAAAAAACTTAGGAACACTGAGCTATCAAGAGGTAAAATATCCGAAAATATTTTAAATTAATTTTAGTATAACGAAAATAAACTTTCTAGCATTAATTTTACCATATCTCTCTTCAAAATATGAGAAACCTTTTAATATTTATTTTTATTATTTCACTTATTATTCAAGGCAGAAATGGGCAAAGTGAGCAATTTTTTAATTAAAAAATTTTTTTTCAAAAAAATTTTTTAAGCCGAAGCAAATTCTTCAGAAGAAAATGATAATAAAATTGAGGAGGGGTGTACAGCCCAGAATGGATGTACTACAACTAGTAAAACAAATTTAAATTTTGACCAAGACGAAAGTCATGAGAAGGTAACAATATTTTAAAAACTATGAACCTAAAAGTTAGAGTTGAAAGTTTGGGAAATGCCGGATCCGGTTTCCGAATTTTGAAGTTTTTTTCTATTCGGACCGGATTTTACAAGCGGAAATGAGGAAATAGGCAAAACCCAGACCGGAACCGGTCTGGGTTCAAAATCCTTAAAATCCATGTTTCATCAAAATATCGGGATTCCGGACTACCGGTTCCGGTCTGGGTTTCAACTCTACTAAAAATCAAAGTGGCTCTGAAATGATTGGTTACAAATTTTACATAAGGGGCAAAAATTATGATTTTCCATAATGGTTAAAAAGTGATCATTACAAAAGGGTCAGAAGGAAAATTTTTTCAAAATGGTCAATTTAAAAATAGTATAAGGTTCAATCACTCAATTAAAAATAATCCCTATTTATTTTCAAATTTTTCAAGTCCAAATATTTTTCGCCTGAATTGAGCAGCAATTTCTACCCCTCGATAAATATGGAACGCTACAATTTTATTCGCAGCTATTATTCAATTCTTCGCTTTTTTGTTTCAATTTATTTTATTTTAATTAATTCAATATTTTCACTTTACAATTCGTTTTTACCTTCAAAAACGGTTAATTGGATAAATGCCAGTGATAAATTATTTATTCCGGCACATATTGCAGCAGAACAAATTAGAGAGAATAAGGCAATTTTTACATTTTTAAAAAATTTCTTCTTTTGAGAGTACTGTATTTTCTCTCATTTTGAAAGAGAGAGAGGGGAATAGTTCTAATATTCCTAAAATTTATCTCAAAGCTCTTCAAGGGAGGAACTCAAACTTATTGTTAGACTGGTGGAGCATCGATATTTTTGGTCCCATAAGTCAAGACTCTAAGATACAAAATGATTAATTGTGAGGGAGTTGAGAGAGGGAAGGGAGGGAGGGTTCAGAATGGAGGGAATTGGAGGGCTTTTTTTCAGGATTCATTTATTGGAGGGCTTCAGAGTTGAGTTTTGGGTTACTTGAGTCTCAAGGTTATTTGAGTCACATTTGAGGTATTCTTCTCAGAGGCTATTTGAGAACATTAGAGCTATTCGAGTCTGATCTTTACTTAATATTGAGTAATGTAAATTATGACTCAAAGAGACTCAAGACTCAGAGAAGACGACCTTAACCGCTGATTATTTAAAAAATTTCTAATTTAATTAAAGCTAAAATCGCGCGACTTGGTTCTTGCATATATTGAAAGATTGAAAATTGTCAACGAAACGGTAAACGGCTTAACCCAAAACAACACAGACGCATTGAACTTGGCAGAGAAATGTGATAAAGAATTGGCAAATATGACTAAGGAAAAAAGAAATGAGGTGAAATTTGAAAAAATAAAAAACGCCAGAAAAGACAAAATGCCAAAAATAATATTAAATGCCAAATTAAATGGCATTCTATCCAAAAAGCTGGCATAATGCCAAAATTTAAACAAAATGCCAAAAATTAAACAAAACGCCAAAAATTGGCATAATGCCAAAAAATTTGAATTAACGCCAAAAATTTTTTTTACAGTTAGCCAAAACAAAGCCTCTCTTTGGCGTTCCATTTACAGTCAAAGCAAACATTCAAGTAAAAGGATTCATTACTAGTCGCTGTAATCTTTATGAAATGAACAGTCCTCCAAGTACCGTAGAAGCTACTGTTATTACTCGGTACTAAAATTTAAAGTCAAAAAATTTTGAAAATTTCTTTTCAGTCTATTAGAGGCCGGTGCCATTATATTAGGTATAACTTCAATGCCTAATAATGGTGTTAGTTGGGCTGTTGATGATAGTGCTTGTGGTGTTGTTAATAATCCACACGATACGAGAAGAATGTCTGGGGGTAATAATTTAAAATTTATTAATTTAAAATTTATTAACAAGTTCAAAATGGTAACTTTCATAATGTTAGAAATTAAAATTTCAAAAATCATAATGCCAAAATTTCGAAATGTCAAAATGTCAAAATCTCAGAGTTCACGGAATCCCGTAACGGGATTCTTAACAAAAATTTTTACGGGACAGAATCCCGCGGGATTAATACCGTAAATCCCGATAATCCCGCCCGTCGCTTAAAATACAGGATTTCGGGACAGGATCCCGTAAAATCCCGTACGTGACCCTGTCACGTGCCGACCTCTTGTCAGGACTCCACGTCTAAAAACACATAATGTCAAAATACATAACGACAAAATTTCATAATTTCAAAATTCAAACTTTAAAGGGAGCAGTGGAGGTGAAGGCGTATTAGTTGCCTCAGCTGGTTCACTCTTTGGCATCGGAAATGATATTGGAGGTTCTGTCAGAATCCCAGCATACATGAATGGAATTTTTGGATTGAAACCAACAACGTTCCCAAACCATACAATCCCAGTAGATGGAATATTACCAAAGTTTACTGATTATCAACCAGCTTCTGAAATGTTAACAATGGGTCCTTTAGTTCGTTACGCTTCTGATTTGCCTCTTATTATGTCGGCAAGTTTTTTTTAAGTTGGGAAAGTTGTGAAATTATTAATGAGAAGGGGAGGAGAATGAATGAATTAGAGCTAGAGCAATAAAATTTTGAAAAGTCATTCTCAATAGTCTTATCTAGAAGCCATAAAAATTTCAGAATTTTAGTATTAATATTTCTAAAGTTGTGGTGGAAAATTGTCAATAAGGGTCATCAAGGGATCTAGTTGGTTATGAATATTTTTATAAATAAATTCTGAGATAGTCAACCGAAAATTCTGAAATTTTATTAGATCATGTCTGACATATTTATTAATAGTTTTGGAGAATTTGAAGACATTAGGTTATCTTCAAGGCAGGTTATAAAGCTACGAGTAGGCGTTGTCTATTGACTAAATTTTATTATTCTAACAATAAGAATATTAATTCAGAAAATTTCAGAATTTAAAATTCTGATATAATTCTGATATTCAGAATTTAACTTAAAAAATTCTGATATTCATAATTTAATTAAAAATATTCTGATATTTTCAGAATTTTACCCCAAAAACAATTTTTAATCCCCATTTAAAGGTATTGGCTAATAAACCTCTAAATTATTATTCAAAAGAACTCGATTTGAGCAAACTCAGATTATTTTACCTTGAAGATTTGGATGTTTTAATTAGTGAAGCATTGCATGATGAACAGAGAAATGTTATTAGATTGGTTGGGAATTAATTAAAAAAATTATCCAAAAAATCCTTTTAAGGTCAAAAACTTTTTTGAAACAAAACATAATGTTAAAGCCCAAAAAGTACAATTTCCATTGATGAATAGAGTTTGGGAATTGTGGGGATTAACTGGATATGCTAACTCTACTTTTGTAAGAATTGTTAAAAATTTTATTTTAAAATGTCTTGGGCTGAAAAAATTAAAAGAAAATTTTATTTAAACCATTGGGATACACTTCATTCCCGTCTAGAAGGAGGGGATGAATCCTCTCATTGGGCGAGCAGGACATCTTTTGAGTGTCAACTACCTATGTACAGACATAAGAGACAGTCAAAGGGATCCTTCTGTCTCGATTCCCTAAATTGGAAATTTACTTTTATGTCGGTATAATCCCTGATGCAGACCAAACGCTTTCCCTAGTTGAATCAAGGCACTCAATTTTCGGAAGTCTACACCAATTTAATTTAAATTTTAAACACGTCTTCACTCATTCAATTTTTAAGGGCTTCTCCGAACTCCCCAGTCTTGCTAAGGAAGTTTATTCTGGCAAATCCAACTATACATTTATACAACTAGAATTATCTATTTTACAATCTTTTACTACTCCAAAGGATTCGAAAGAATTAGAATTTGTTGCCGATAAAAAACAAAAACTCCGAGATCAGCTAAATAATTTGCTTGGAAAGGATGGAATTCTTTTATTACCTATATGGCCTACACCTCCACCTTTTCATCATATAGAGCCTTTCACACCCTGGAATGTGCTTTATACACTTGTATGTTTTTAAATTTTTCGGAAATGCAAAAATGTCACGAAATGTCAAATAACGAAAAAATTTCATAAAGTCAAATCCCTAATTCACAAAATTTTGTAATATTGTTAAATAGCTATAAATATTAGAGATCAGAACGGGTCCGCGACTCGGACCCATTTACCGGTTTTTTAAGCAACCGGGATGAAACCGGGAACGGGAATTCCCGGTTTTCCCGGCCCCTCCCGGTCAACTTTCAGAAACCGTTTCCCGGTTCCCGGACCCGGTTTTTTCAAAATTCTGATTTCTAATAAATATTACAAAATGCCAGTTCCCTAAAATTTTCATAATGCCAAAAACCTAAAATTATTCCAAAATTTCAACTTCTCAAAAATAAAGCATAATGCCAAGAATTATTTAATAATTTAAAATTTATTTTCAAAGTTATTCAACGTCCTTGGTTGCCCTGCAATATCTGTCCCAGTAGGAAAAAGCCGACAAACAAATCTACCACTCGGAGTACAATTTATTAGCTCTACATTTAATGAAGAAATTTTAATTGGAATGGCCCGATTTATGGAAAAAAGTTTTGGAGGTTGGGTAAAGCCTGGGCATGTTTCTCCAACATTTTTGAATAATAAAATGCCTGTACATGATGAAATATGAAAAAGAAATGTGAAATAAATTAAATAAGCTTTCGAATTGTACTTATTCTATTTATAAACTAATGTAAATGACTAACAGAAAATTTTATTCTGATATACTGTAAATATCCTAATAGAAGCCTTCACTAATAGAAGCTTATATTATAAGCCCACCCGCAAATTCTCAAAAATTTACGCCTAGGGCGCTGAAATATGAAATAAATATGTCACGTGGTTCACCTAAAATCCCAAAATTTTCGCTTGCGACTGTATATCGGAGGAGTTGAAGGTATATCGGATGACTTGTAAGGATTAAGGTGGATCTTGAGTGTATATTTATTTATTCCTAATACCTAGTGTAAATTTTTCCCATTCTCCACGGGAGGAATGTCACGAGAACGGGGAATTCGAATTGCGGAAAAGGCGAACGGGGTCTCTGGGGGAGACCTCCCCGTTCCCCGGAGAATTCACTTCGCCCGGGGCGGGTTCTAACCTACTTTTCACCGCAAATAAAAAATAAAGGACTGCTCAACAGAGTTGCGTCGTAATTAAAATTTTTTTTCGTAATCGTAATTCGTAATTTTTAAAAAAATTTCAGAATCGTAATTCTTAATTCGTAATTTAAAAAAAATTTCGTAATCGTAATTCGTAACTAAAAAAATGCCGTAATTCGTAATTTATAAAAAATTTTGAATATTTTTTTCGAATCACTTTTTGCGCCGCTGGCAAAATTTTGGTAAATTCATGACTAAATTAAAGTTTAAAAATTTTTATTTTTGGAAAAAATAATTGTCTAAATTTATTACCCAATCATGCATTCGAACCCAGGCCAACAAAATATGAACGTTATTTAAGTCTGGTTCTAAACCACTAAACCACCGATTTTCAAGTGCGAGTATAGCAGAAAATACAAATATAATTTTCTTTTCCCTTCAAAAATTTAATGACAAAGTACAAGAGGCTTTTTTTGCAATATTTTTCGTAATTTTTCCCGATATTTTCGTAATCGTAATACGTAACTCAAAAAATGATGTAATTCGTAATCTTAATTCGTAATTACGACGCAACCCTGCTGCTCAAGGGCTATACATAAAGGGGAATAAGGGCATTACTACTAAATTAAAAAATTATTTTAAAAAATGTCAAGAAAAAAATTTAATTTGCTTTTATTAAATTTACTTCTTTATTTATTATATTCTGCTGCTGCAAATGAATCTTCTGAAAAAGAATATAATTGTGAAGAAGAATATAATTCTGAAGAATCTGAATATGCACCATCAGAAGATTCTGATTTTGAAGATCTTAAGGTACAGTGGAATCTGGATGATAGTTATCCTTGGGTAGCTAACAAAATGGAAGTTTTTTGAACAAATTTTCGAACTGATTTTGAACAAATAGACCTCCGGCCTATCAAATTGGAAAAATTGCCTCTTTCCATGCACATAACAGTAAATTAAGCATAGCTTAGAGCTGTGGCTTGCAAAGTACTTACAATAGCTCTCCAAGACTATTGGTCCTGGGTCTTAACTCAAAAATTTTCTCGAGGTTTTTTCGGCCTTTGTCTTGGGGGAGAATCTTGGTCTAGACTTTTTTGAGCTTTTGAAAAATGCACCCCATAAAGACTGGGAAACAAAAGGAAGAGTGAAGAATTGTAGGCGTTAGGAAATGGGAAAAAAGTTGAAATGGGAAAAATATCAGGAAATATTTTGATATCTCCAATATTAATACCAACTTTATTTTAATAAAAGAGTAAAGATAAAGAAGGATATTTATCAATAAATAAAATAAATCATGAAAAAGAAGAAGGGACTTCTACAAGTCATGCATACTATATGTGGGCAGGCAAAAAACTGAATCAAATAAATGAGTGCCAAACGAAATTATTTGGGAATGAAACAGAAATAACAAGAGAATTTAAATTAGACATGGCAACACAAGAAAAAATTATTGAAAATTATTTTAATGAAAATTCGGAATTTAAGGAAGCATATGAAAGTTATATGAAAACTTGTCATACAGAAAATGAAATTGAGGTATTTTATCGAAGCTAAGCTAAAGGCTTCGGCACATACTAAGATGAGGCCGGGTGCCTAAGCTAAAGGCTTCGGCACATACTAAGATGAGGCCGGGTTGGGTTATAAACAGTCTATCATCAATTCTTGTAATTCTGTTTCATTTTGAAGTGCTTCTAAGAGTGCGGCTCTGAAATGGCTAGTCGCCAAGTTGACTGCCTTGAATTGTCCGAGTTAATATTCTCGGCCTTCTTTGTTAATAATGTACTGAGAAAAGGTTTATTTAACTTCTTTTCTAATAGTTGTAGACGGAGGCCTTTCTATATCTTCGCCCGCATTCTTTTTCGCCAATCACAAATTTCGCCAATCGAAAACTTCGACAATAAACTTTAAAAAATATGTTTTTAAAGTTTATTATCGAAGTTTATGATTGGCGAAATTTGTATTGTCAAAGTGTGTATTCTCAAAGTGTGTATTGGCGAAGTGTGTATTTGCCAAAATGAGTTTTGCCTATGTGTGTCTGTTGGCAAATTGTCAGCCGGCAGTGTCTGTTGGCAAAGTGTGTATTGGCAAAGTGTCTATTGGCAAAGGACCGAATAATGGTAACTAAGTATGTAAAACTACTTTTTTATCAAAAAAGTACCCAAACACAATCCCCCTTTTTTCAACTATACTATCAATTCTAGAAATAAAATTCTAGCCTTGAGGTATAAACTCGGAAAAATTTTTGATTTTTAATTAAATTTTCCCCTTTAAATGGAAAAATGATGGCTCATTCGAAAGAGCCCAAAATTTTATTTTTTCGAAAAAATTTTTAATTAAAAATTTACTATCTTCCCACTTTTGCAAATAGTTTAGTCCTCACAGCCAATAATCTTCTTCCAATTCTTCAAAAAATTTATTTTCTTTCCAAAGTTTGAAATTTAATTAAATAATTATTTAATGCAAATTATAAATAATTATTTTATTATTGTTACTTGTTGTTGTTAATTAATTGTTATTGTTAATTATTAATTAAATATGACAAATTTAATTAATTTATATATTGTAGTTGAATTTATTGTGTTGTAGTGAAGCTGAGCCCCCAAAATAAATGTGGCGCTATTGTTGAATTTAATTAAATTTAAATTATTTTAATATTTAAATTTCTTCTTAATTTTTTCCAACTCAATTCAAACAAATTTATTTTAAAAATATTAATTTATTTATTTAGTTCAAACAATAAAAATAAACCCAACAAAGTACTGCAAGAACAGCAAAGCTATAAGAATAATTTTTTTTTATATAAAAATTATTCCAAAAAAATTTATATAAAAATTAAAAATAATTTTTAGATAATAAAAAATAATATTAATTATAGCTAAAAATTTGGCTGAGCACGTCGCCGCCACGAATTAATGAGGCTTTTATATTTGGGTGGCGCGCGACGGGCTCAAAAAATATAAACAAAGGGAGCCTCAGGCAACCATTTTTATGAAAAAAAGGAAAAGAATTTGGGCTGCCTGAGGCGCACTCGAAATTTATTTACAAATAAAGATAATCATTTAGGTTACATCCGTGTTAATAATAAAGAAAAGAAAAAATTCTTTATTATTAGCACGGAGGCGTCACACTTTAATTTCTTAAACAAAAAACGAAATCAATCATTTGTGACCACAATCGATCATTTCGACTATCGACTAATTTATAAATTAAATTCAGGAACCGTTTATTCAAGGATTGTGTGTGTTATATTTATATGGAAATATATCTACAAAAAGTTTAAGGAAACGTTTTAAAATAGGTCATGTATCTTTAATGACAAAACTGCATGCAAGGAAAATTCGGTTTTTTGAAACAAAAAAAGGAAAAAAGTTAGTTTTTAATTTAATTAATTAAAAATTTTAATAAATTTAATATGGTTCCGTCTAAGGTTCACAGATCCGGAGAACAATTAAGATTATCCTGATCCGTTATCCGCACTGAAAATTTCAGCATTACCTGTCATTTTCTGTTCGCCATCCTTATTTCCTTTGCCTCATACTTTCTTTTGTTTTCGGAAGCTTAAATTTTTGAGACATATGCTTAACTATTTTATGTTAGAAAATTCTCGATTTTCTGGATTTGAGATAAAAATTTTTTTTTTAAATACCGGTTAATATCGAATATCGATACCGATATCTGGTCAATTCTTGCATATCGATATCGATCTCGGTTACGCCAATATCGAACAATCTAGATATCGAATCTTTCCTAAAATATCGATATCGTCCTACTCTATTTTTAAGGTGTCTTCACAATTTTCGCAATTACCGACTAAAATAAATAATTTAATATTTAGAATAAAATTTAACAATGTAAATGAACAAAATGAAAAAATTAGTCAAATTAAAGAACTAATTGCTAAAAAAAGTGAAGAAAAATGTGGGGGAAAATGGGATTTAAATGGAAAAATTAATTTTCGTCCATTAGAAGCAAAAAAATTTTATAACGATATTTTAAATTTGGCGAGAGATGTTTATGGGCATAAAAATTCACAAAAAAAATTTTTGGAAATAATTGATAGAAATGAATTTACACAATTAGTAGATTCTGGCGATGTAGAAATTAAAAACCCCCAAAATATTGAAATGTTTATGACTAAATTTAGAGGAATTAATTTTGATTTCGAATGGGAATTAATTTGGAGTTTTAACTGTATGTAATTTTTAAAATTATTTAAGATACATAGTAGAAATTTAATATATTGAATATGCTAAAGTAATTACACTGAGTAATTATTTTTCATCCACTCATAACATCAGCAATTAAAGTTGAAATAATCATCAATGTAGGTGGTAAAAATTCAAAAAAGCAAAAAGGGCAAAAAATTTTATTGTTATAATAAAAATTGTAAAAATCCCATTTTTTAAAATTTCTACTAGAAAGTGTTAATCAAGAAAAAATTTTTAAATTTTTGAAACGAATATTTTTCCAGAAATTGAAAAAAAATTTTGGGTGATAGGAAAAATTGACAAGCTTAAAAAAATTAAAATTTTTTTGATAAAAATCGTATTTTCCTTAAAATTTCAAAATAAATGACAAAAACGCAAAAACATTCAAAATAGGTTATAAACTATTTAGGTTTCAAAACGCCAAAATAGGTTCCAATAGGTGATAAAAAGTCCGCGTAGACAAAAGATTTTCAAAAATTATCAACGGATATGAGCTCAATTCATCATAACTATTTCGCTGAAAAAAGGTTATAACCTAAAACTCCGTGCCCTAATCATAATATATTTTATTTAGGCTTATTATTAGTCTATGTTTAATTAATTGTACAAGTTTGTTATAATCGCAAGATCCATTCAATGTTTTTGTGTTTTTTCCTACAATCCTATAATCTTAATATTTATTTTATCATTTATTTCTAGTTATGAAAAGAATTTAGTTAACAACGCTGAAATATCTGCTAAAAAAATTTGTCGTCTTTTATTATTTCGTTTATTGCTCGAAATTTTAAAGTCAATGACTATGAATGATAAATTCATCAAATTTCTGCATAAGAATACAGAAATAAATTATTTGGAAGCAAAAAGGGAAAATATTAAACTTGCTAATGATTTAATTGAATTATTTAAAAAATATAATGAAACACCTGAGGAATTTTATAATTTAAATTTAAATGAAAAGTATTCGGAAAATACAAAGCAAAAGGTAACAAAAAAAGTTGAGGAATTTATAGGAAATTATATTGATGGAAAATTGAAAATTGTTGTTGGTCGTTTGGCATGAAATTAAAAAGGAAGAATAGAACGACGAAGAATTTTTTTATTTAAATTTCACATTCATAATTGAATTCTGTGAATTCCCGATCACTTTTCTGACTCCCAAGCTTATTATCCTACATCTCTACTATTTAGATGTCAATTTTGGGTCCCCAATTTTAAAGTTTTCTATACTAGAAATACAAGATTATTTAAAATTATTTTTTTTATTTAAATTGTAGTTTTTAGACTTGATAAAAATTTATTTTATTAGAAATTACATTAACCAATAAATACTCCACGACAAATCACACCTCCTAAAGTACAAGTCATTATTTCAATCAAAATCGTCCTCTAGAAATATATTTAATAAATAAACTAATTTCTTTTTTATAAGTTTGTCCGGTAAGAGATATCGAAATTGTTTAATTTTGCATCTAGGCTATAAAAATAGGCAATAAAATTCAGCTACGTTAAATAAGCTTACCCGGTGGGACGCAAATACATTTATGGGACGCTATAAAAGCTTGTGGGACGAATGTCATAAGAAATGAGCCATGAATTCTTTACTCATATGATGTATCGCATAGTTGGCTCGAGTGCATTACACTTTACAAATAAAAAAAGAAGCGATACTTAAAGAGGAAAAAGGGCATTACTATTTTAAATTTAAAAATTATTTTAAAAAATGTTGAGAAAAAAATTCAATCTAATTTTATTAAATTTACTACTTTATTTTTTATATTTTGTTGCTGCAAATGAATCTTCTGAAGAAGAATATAATGCCAAAGGATCTGAAAATTCATCATCAGAAGATTCTGATTTTGCGCGTCATAAGGTACAGTGGAATCCCGATAATAGTCATCCTAGGCTTTTTGAACAAAATTTTCAACAGATTTTGAAAAATAGATCCGGCCTATCAATATTGGAAAAATCGCCTCTTTCCATGCACAAAACAGTAAATTTAGCAGGGCTTTGAGCTGCGACTAAAAAAGCACTTGCTTTACAAAAATCTGTGTTGGGCAATCCTATGTTGGGGAATCACGAAATTTTTCCTGATATCTCCAATATTAATCCAAACTTTGTTTTAATAAAAAAATAACAAAATATATTTATCAATAAATAAAATAATTATTTGAGAATAAAAGCAAAGAAGAGAATTATAAAAGTGATTCAAATATATGGTCAGAGAACAAATTTAATCAAATAATTGAGTGCCAAACGAAATTATTTGGAAATGAAGTAGCAATAAAGAATGAATTTATTTTAGCTGAGAAAACACAGAAAATGATTATTAATAATTATTTTAAAGCA